GTGTGTGTGTGTGTGTGTGTGTGTGTGTGTGTGTGTGTGTAACAAAGATTTTCAAGCTTGAGTTAAGGTCTGAATTGCCCTCCTTTAAAGATGGGGTGTGACAGATATCATCACAAATAATTTGCACGTACTTGAATGTTAGTAACTGAAAGAAAGTTCCCAGAAGGCTCCACAAAAGGCAGCTGGCCTTGTGGAAACATTTGCGAAGTGCTTGGATGTCAACAATGCTAAAAGCAAATACTTGCTTTGCCCCTGGGATAGAAACAGAAAGCGGAAACTGGGAGATAGCTTTTGAAATCCCTGGTTAGGTCATTTAACTGCACCAAATAAAAAGATGCATTTGCCATGGTGGGTGTTATTTCTTTTAAAAGGTATGGTCTGATTATAAGAGAAAAATAATTTGTTTCTGGGCATAAAATTAAGATATTAAGCTTAAAAAACTCATTAATTAACTCACTTAATTGAAGCCCCCTTTATAGATCCTAAATTGTCTACTTAGTTAACCTAAAAGGGAGTTTCATTTGAAGTTTCCTTGGTCAGCAAATTGCTTCCTGACTTAAATAACACCCCAGCAGTGTACCAATACATCACTTCATTCCCTTTGTAGTAGTCCCAGGAGCTTTTCTTGAGTCTTCATAGCGAACGACATTCATATGTCAGAAATTTCAGAAAATCTTCTATTGAAGCAGCCATTACCGACAGATGATTCTTACATTTTAATGTACAATCAGGCTACCTGGGGCTCACTGGATAAAATGTGCAAGCTAGCTCAGGGGGTCTAGTGTGGGCCCAAGATCCTGCTTTTGTATTAAGCTTCCTGGTGATATGGTTCCCATAGAACACATTGCTAAGCCTCTAGCCTTACAGTGTTTATTGTCTTAAAGAGGTTTGAAGAGCCCAGGAATGGTAGAACAGGACTTAGAATCCTAACATTTCAGAGGCTGAGGCAAGAGGATTGCCAACAATAGCCTGTACTGCATAGGTAGCCATCAAAAGGTCAACCAGGCTGTTTAGCAAGACCCATCAAAAATAATAAATAAAATAAAGAGATTGAGATTAAAGATCATTGAAGCCTTGGAAATAGATTCCTCTCCAATGGGATTCCTAGAAAGTATAGTGGACCAGGAATTAAGCAATGTTCGTTAACAATGTGTCTAGCCACAATGTAGTAGGCTTTCCAGTTGTCATAGCTATGCCCAACATGTTTCCGTCCCCTTGCTTGGTTATTGCAATTGTAATAATTGTTAACTCATATTGCAGTGTGTTCAGCATCATGGATTAAAACAAAATGGTCCACAATCTCTATGGTACTCCCCAGGAAGCTCCAAGCCCAGCAGAACAAAGGCCTGACAGAGGATGAGTACAGTACAGGAGGAATTCCTCTGCCAGACAAAGTAGAAACACAAAGGAGGATTGGGGCCCACTTCTTGAAGGATATGTCCTTCAAGAGCCAAATGTCCTTCAGTCAAGTTGGGAAGCAAAAACAAAGAAAAATAGATTTAGTGGCAGAAAAGGAAGTAAAACAGCAATGTCAGAGAACAGGGACAGAGAAGTCT